TTTCCATAGGCTGGGGCTGCAGGGTCCCACAGGAGTCCCACAGAAGCTGGGCGTCCTAGGTGCAGCATTTCCATAGGCACGTGGTGTGTGGTGTCAGTGTTCCTGGTGATGATAACTTGGCGAAGGTGGTGTCTGCTAGGTTCCTCCACTATCAGGTTACTATGTCGCCTTTTGTAAAAATAAGTATCTTGTCGAAAATACTTTGACACTGTAAATATCCTTCTCTCATCAAACTTTCACGTTAGTTTTAGCAATTTTTAGTAATTCTTTCCAGAATCAATTATTACTATGATTATTACTGTGATTTTTACCAAGTGGTAATTTTATAATTCCATCATTCCTTCTACAATTATTAGTCAGCATTCTACTATAAGGAAGAGTATTTACTTTTCTCCCATTTGTGTATTCATTTATATTAGTGTGGATTCATGGATTCTTCTTAAGTGGGCCGTAAACTGTTAGCATCATTTATTTTGATGCTCAGATTGTCCCCAGGTTGGCCGGTGGGAGTCCCTTCAAGCTGAGTCTTGTGTCCTCGTATTCTCTGAGCAATTTCTTTCTTTCTTTTTTTTTTTAATTTATTTTTGGCCACGTTGGGTCTTCATTGCTGCACGCGGGCTTTCTCTAGTTGCAGTGAGCAGGGGCTTCTCCATTGCGGTGTGCGGGCTTCTCACTGTGGTGGCTTCTCTTGTTGCGGAGCATGGGCTCCAGGCATGCGGGCTCAGTAGTTGGAGCAAGCAGGCTCTAGAGCGCAGGCTCAGTAGTTGTGGCGCCTGGGCTTAGTTCTGCGGCATGTGGGATCTTCCCGGGCCAGGGCTCGAACCTGTGTCCCCTGCATTAGCAGGAGGATTCTTAACCACTGCGCCACCTGGGAAGCCCCTCTCTGAGCAATTTCTTAATTTCTGGCACAGTAAATTTCCTGCTTTTCCAGCCCCAGCCCTAGAATCAGCCTTGTCTTCAAGGAGGCCTTGATCTCTTCAGTGAGGGGTAGCATTTAAACCATCTGGAAGCTAGGTGTGCTCATGGCTTTTGCACATATTGTTTATAAGCCCTTTCATCAGACAGAGGTAGGAGCGCGCACACGTGTGTACATGCATATCAGTAGCAATTTCTGTATCTACTTCTCTCCATACACATTAAAACCTCAGAGTTCACACTGATACTTCCAATTCCAGTTGCTACACAAGGTTGCTAGTAGCCTTTGCACTTTCCATAATTGTAATCCCTTCCTCTGACAGTGGCATTGGTTATCTATAATAGATTTGTTTATTTTCTCAATCCTAGAATATACAGAAAATACAGATTTACTCACTGTTACCACTGCAAAATACAATTCTACCAGCTGGAATTCAGAATTTATACTTTTTTGTATTTAGCTTGAGAGTTTGAGGGTTTATAATCAAAATAGTGTGTTCAAAAGATACTTGATTGCCCCCATTCCAACCCCATGTGGTTGTATGATTCATTTAAAATGGAGTTGTGTCCACTTGTTCCCATTGTGTTCCACTTTAGGGTCCCCCCACCCTTGTTTGTTTAATTATTCATTGTGAACACGTGAAGCACTCCCGTGGTTCCACGCGTCACAACTGTATGAGATGTGGTCAGAGAAGTGCCCCCCATCCTCCTTACTCTGTCTCCACCCACTGCTTAGAAGTAAGCAGTCTAATTTAGTTTTTCTATGTTTCTTTTTGCATAAATGAGCAGATGTTTATTTTGTATTTCCGCTTTCTTACACAAAAGTTGACATAATTAGATATACTTTTGCACTTGGCTTTTTTCCACTTAACGTATTCTAGAAATCTCTTCACACCACTTTTTAGCAGTCTTTCTCATTCTGTTTAACATTTCATTGGATGGATATATATAGTTTATTCAGCTACTAACCTTTGTACAGGCGTTTAAGGTGTTTCCAGTATTTTGCAACTAAAAACAATGCTGCAATGAGTAAATTTATGCAAATGTATTTTTGTCTTATTGGAAGTGTGTCTTCAGGTTTAAATTCCTAGAAGTGGGATTGCTGGGCAGGAGGTAAAGGCGTATGTAGCTTTGTTAGATGTCACCAGACTCCTTCCGTAAGGCTCTGTCAATCAAGCTGCAGTCTCGCCAACAACTTGTGAGAGGGCCTGTTTCCTCACATCCTTCCCAAAGGAGTGTGTCATACTTTTTCCTTTTGTGCCAGTCTGAGGTGAGAAGTGGTATCTCAATGTTGTTTACTTTGTATTTCTAATATGAGTTAGTCTGACTAATCACCTTCTTTCGTACATTTGTGTGAGTTGATTGTATGTGATTGTTCATTTTGCTCACTATTCTTTGTGTTTTTTGGTCTCTTTCCCCTTGATTTTTAAGAGTTCTTTGTGTATTAGGGATATTAGCCCTTTATCTGTGAGATATTACAAGTACACTTACCCAGTTTCTCATGTGTGGATTTTATTTTTAAACTTTGCTTATTTTTTTTTGGCCATGCAAAAATTTAAATTTTTTCTTAAGATTTTTATGAGGTCAAATTTTTCAGTTTTTTGTTTTATCATTCAGGATTTTGAATGATAGAAAGCCTTGGAATTTATTTTTGATATGGTGTGAAATAGGGCTCATTCATCTTTTTTCCTTTGTGAATATACAGTTGACCTAGCACCATTTGTTGAAAACTCCATTTTTTCTGTACTGCTTCTTTGGTCATAAATCAAGTGCCTATATATACAGTTTGGTTAATTCATGTGACAATATTGTATTATTCTAGTTATTGTGATAATCGCATAGATTTTGATTTGGTGCTCTGATGTATGTTTAACTTTGCTATTACCCAAAGGCAAATTGTAGACAGAGAACTGTGACAATTCAGCCACTTTTAACAGGAGTATGTAGGGTGGTCTTCAGATGTAATTGTTATGGAAGGAAAGAATATTTAACTTATGGAGGAAGGAAAACTAGTTCAAAGATAATTTTAACTTTTATTAACAATATAAAAAATAATTTGAAAATGTAAGAGTCTGCTAAGTTTATTTACTGCTTAGTAGATGAGGTACAAATTGACAGGAAGGGGGTGTAACTTGATTTACAATTTTTTTTTTTTGCATCATACTTGATAACCAGTTTCATTAAGAGAAACTAGTCTTAAAGAATATGAACAGGGCTTCCCTGGTGGCACAGTGGTTGAGAGTCAGCCTGCCGATGCAGGGGACGCGGGTTCGTGCCCCGGTCTGGGAAGATCCCACATGCTGCGGAGCGGCCCGTGCGCCATGGCCGCTGAGCCTGCGCGTCCGGAGCCTGTGCTTCGCAACGGGAGAGGCCACAACAGTGAGAGGCCTGCGTACCGCAAAAAAAAAAAAAAAAAAAAAGAATATGAACAATCCTCAATGATTAATGCAATATCCCCCTTCCTTATTATGTGATCTAGATTTTTCATAATATGACAACCCTAAATTACCAAAGCTTAATTCTGACAATTCATTTAAAACATTAATCTTCTTTCTGCCTCTTTTTTTTTTTTTTTTTTTTTTTTGCGGTATGCGGGCCTCTCACTGTTGTGGCCTCTCCCGTCGCGGAGCGCAGGCTCAGCGGCCATGGCTCACGGGCCCAGCCGCTCTGCGGCATGTGGGATCTTCCCGGACGGGGGCACGAACCCGTGTCCCCTGCTTCAGCAGGCGGACTCTCAACCACTGTGCCACCAGGGAAGCCCATCTGCCTCTTTTTTAGTAAGACAGATTGACCTACCTAATGCTACTACTCCATATACAGTCACTGACATTTAGAACTGGGAGAGGCTTCAGATTTAGAGATGAGTTGTTTTTGAACCATTTTAATTTGTAGAAATGAATTCATTGTGATTATCCGAGGGTGATTATCTCAATGGGAAACAACATAAGTTGGCTGGTTAACTTGTGCCTTCACCCTAGTGGGCAAAACTTTTGGTTATTTTATTTAAAAGCAGGGGTTTTTTTTTTCCCTCACAGACCTTTAACTCCTCTTTGTTCTCTCTCATTTCTAGGAGAAGTAAAATCAGATTTCTTCACTGTTTTTCTTAAGTAACAATTTTATACCCAATCCAGTTCTCCAGAGTGCTTGTTTTCTTTTTAAAAAGCTCACATTTTTTTCAATCATCTTCATAAAACATAAATAAATATTACAAATGGTCTTTCTCGAGTAGTATGATCATTTAACCCTCACTCTAACCATAAAATTTCTAATTTTTTATTTGTATATTACTTAGGCTTTAAAAAAAAACCCTCCTTTCAATTTTGGCTTAAATTAGACTACAAAAAAAAAATAGAGGTAAGAAAAATAAATTTCAGAATAACTTCTTTTAGACATTGGCTCCATCGTTGCATCACTTCAGAGCAGTGAAGATTCCTCCTGACCCTCAGTACTGCTTCTCTCTGGAAACTGCAAGGTGGCATTTCTGTGGCCTTACAGACCTTTCCTGAGATAGCACATGTGATGTCGCTATCCTAGAGTCACATCCTAGATGAGCGGTAGCAAGGAGGATGTCTGCACTTTCTCCCACCCCTCACTGAATCTGGCACGTGGGGGCACACAGTGGGCTTCCATAACATCTCTGAGTACATTATGACTTTCATATTTTAAAAAGAAGTGTGTGTGTGACTTCCCTGGAGGTCCAGTGGTTCAGACTCCGTGCTTCCAATGCAGGGGGTGCAGGTTTGATCACTGGGTGGGGAACTAAGATTCTGCATGCTGTGCGCGGTGTGGCCAAAATAAATAACTAAATAAAATAAAATTTTAAATGGCTTTATAAAAGAAAAAAAAGTATATGCTAGGGTGAAGATTTAATAAAATTAATTAAAAAAAGAAGTGTGTGATCATTTATGAAGCAGTGAAGAAGCTCTGTTTCTGTAGCACAGAGTGATGTGCTGCTTGGCAACTGCCAGAAAGTCCTTGTAGAGTTCTTGAACTCGGCGTAAAAGTGAAGGGCTTTGTTTAGTGTCAAAATGTTATTTAATCTTGCTTCATCTAATCGATTTGTTTTTATCTTCTGTTGCTTCTAGACCAAGAGCAGTGATGACCTTTTAGCTGGGATGGCTGGAGGGGTGACTGTGACTAATGGTGTCAAAGGGAAGAAAAGCACCTGCCCTTCCGCAGCACCATCAGCATCCGCCCCTGCCGTGAGCACCATGGAGAACAGACCCAAGAGTAGCACAGGTATGCGCGCACTCTGTGTGAGGGTTACACTGCCTTTGTGTTTGAGTAGGTGAGTGCAGTGGTATTTAGGGAATTCCATCTAATCGTAGAAAATTTCAAACATGCACAAAAGTATCTGGTATTTCACCTCTATGTACTCATCACCCTTATCACCTGATGGCCACTCTTAGCTCCTTGACACCCACCTTCCCCTATTTTGAAGCAAATTCCAGATGTCATCCACAAATATTTAATTATCTTTGAAAGACAAGGATTCTTTTAAAAATATATTCATAATACCATTATCAGTCCTTAAAATAATTAATAGTCATTTCTCAAATCATATATTATTCACTAAGTATTTAAATTTCTAACTGTCTTATAAATATTACATACATATATTTACTTATTTGTTTGGATCAGGATTTACCAGGATTCACTTAAGGTCCATGTATAGTAATTGGTGAAGTGTCTCTTAAATCTTCATTTTAAATCTATGAGTTCATCCCACTTTTTTCTTGCAATTTAATTTTTGTGGAAACTGGTTGTTTGATCTGTAGAGTTTCCCATGATCTTGATGTCCCCCCACCCTTGGGTCGTGCTGTGTGGCTTGTGGGATCTTAGTTCCCCGGCCAGGGATTGAACCCAGGCCCTGGCAGTGAAAGCGCCGAGCCCTAACCACTGGACCACTATGAAACTGCCTCCTGTGATCTGGATTTTTTTTTAAAATTATTTATTTATTTTTGTCTGGGTTGGGTCTTTGCTGCTGCAAGCGGGCTTCCTCTAGTTGCAGCGAGCGTGGGCCATTCTTCGTTGCAGAGCATAGGCTATCGGCGTGTGAGCTTCAGTAGTTGTGGCACACGGGCTTAGTTGCTCTGCGGCATGTGGGATCTTCCTGGACCAGGGATCGAACCAGTGTCCCCTGCATAGGTAGGCGGATTCTTAACCACTGTGCCATCAGGGAAGTCCTGTGATCTGGATTTTGATGTCACATTCCTATGATGTCCTTGATTTTATTCTTTTATTCTCTGTTTACTAGAAATGTCATTGAATTTAGAGCCTTGATGGGACAGACTCAGGTTCCTTCCTCTTAACCCTGCCAATTCCTTCCTAGGTAATAATTGTCTGTCCGTCAGGAGGCCCATTGTTTCTGGCCGTTTCCCGTTCCATGTTGTTAGCAGCCTCTGATGGTTGATGCCTAGATCCATTCATTCCAGTCCTACCATTCTTTCTTCCTTCATTAGCAGCAGTTTGTTTCTAGATCTCATTCTGTAGTCCAAGGAGTAATGTTATCATATTTTACTTCTTACACTTAAAGAAAAAAACTTTGAAACTTCCTATAAACTTAAGGTCATATGTTTGTAATAAAGTGTATGAAAGCAAATTGGTAGAAATTATAGCAGACCTTCTTTTTCTATCATTATTTAGGCTCTTGTCCCCTCTTGTGTGTACTGGATTTTTTCCTAGCCCAGGTTTGCCTACTGTCATCTCTCCTGCTGTGACCCTCTGTGGATTCTTCCACCCACTCCAGGTCACGCCGCACTGTTAATTGTAATAGCAGTGCAATATGATCACCCGGAGGAAACGTGGAAGTCCTTACTTTGCTTTAGAGGCGTTATTCCATTTTATCGTCACTACAGCCCTGTGAAGTAGAGGCTATCATTAGTCTCATTTTAGAGATGGCAAGCTACACTTAGAAAGCTCAAGTATCTTGCTCAGGGCCATGCATTCATTTGCTCAGTGAATGCTTACGGGGTGCCCATTTTGTACCAGGCCTCAAAGCTGGTGATGGAGCAGAGACTGGACCTTAAGTCTTTCACCCTGAAGCCTGGGGTCGTCACCACATTTAACACTCTAGCTTGTGTGGTAAGAAGGAAATTCAGTACTCTAATCCCACCAGTATCTCCTCCTGGTTCTAGCCTTTAGAATTCCCTGGGTGCACACCCGTGGTTCCCTGCTGACTAATGCCTCCTGCCCTCACAAGGCTGGAAATTATCACCTCCCCGGATCAGTTGCCCCATCTTTTCCCTCTTTTGGCCTCCATTTGCAGTTGTTCCTCCTAATCCTGTTACTTCTGCCTTTGAAATCTATTACAGATTTATTATCCCTTCTCTGCTCTTATGGAGATCTAGCTCTTGCTCCCCGAATGCAGGCCTTCCTTTAGTTTTACTGCTCTTCCTTCTTCCTGTTTCACTTCGCATCCTCTAGCTTAATTTCCATCAAAGTAGTCTTTCTCTGTGTTTCTTCCCTACTCAAGAAAATTTATTGAGCGTTTGTTGCTGCAACTCACCAAGTTCTCCCTGGCATTCAGGGCCCTATGGAAACCTTCCCCTGCTGCTTCCATCGACTGTAGGACCTTGCTTTTCCTTCCTGTGTACCATGCTGCTTCCACTACCTCGTCCTCATCTATCGCGTGGCCACCAGCATCCCCTACCCTGCTCTACACCTGATCCCTGGCAGAATTAGTGGCTCTCTTCCCACATCATCCTCCCTCGTGTAGACCTTTTTTTTTTTTTTTTTCCCCCCTGCGGTACACGGGCCTCTCACTGCTGTGGCCTCTCCTGCTGCGGAGCACAGGCTCCGGACGCGCAGGCCCAGCGGCCACGGCTCACAGGCCCAGCCGCTCCACGGCACACGGGATCCTCCCGGACCAGGGCACGAACTCGCGTCCCCTGCATCAGCAGGCAGACTCCCAACCACTGCGCCACCAGGGAAGCCCTCGTGTAGACCTTTTACTCCCTGTTACCTGGTTAGCCTGGTGCCTGCCACATAAAGAACCAGTTGGTTCTTTAAAAATATTTATTGGTCAGGTCTAGGACTTATTTTTCAAAGTAAAAAATAATGATTTCCTTAAGTGTTTGTGGGTTTTTAAACATACTCCTGTTCTTTTTATATTAAATACATGATCATGTCAATTGTTTGCACAGGTTTAAAATTTTAGCAGTTAAGTAATGGTGTGCCTTGTGCAGCATATTTGACGAATGTGCTGTTATAACTTGGCAGTGATGCATCATCGTTTTCGAACACTTAGGGAAGCAGAGTGGCATACTGTTTAGACTGCCTGCCTGTGTGTGAATCTTGGCTCATTCATGTATTACCTGTGGGATGTCAGCAGATGATTTAACATCTCTTTTTGGGTTTCTTTGTCTGTAAAACAGGATGATGATAATGAAGCTTGTGTAAATTAATGTGTATGAAGTGTTAATATGTGTGTGTAGTAAGTATAAGTGCATGTTGTCTATTCTAATAATTCTTGTTATGGTACTGTTTTGTGGCATTTTATGGTGTGAAAAATTTTTTGCATTTACTTTGATCATAGTTTTTGTGGTTATTGTAGGTAGCTTAGGTTTTTTGTTTGTCCACAGGCTGCCTCTCACTTCTGGTCATCTGTAATCTTCCTTCACTGTCTGTTTCTGCAGTTAGTTTGCTACCTGACTGGCTATCCCTAGAGTCACCTTCATCTGGCTTGCCCTAGATACTATGTCCCTGGCCACCTGTTGAAAGCCATGGTTTGGGATTCAAGTTCATGTGCATAGCTTTTTTTTAATGTGAAAGCTTTATTGAGATATAATTCACATTCCATAAAACTCACCCCTTTGCGGTATTCAACTCAGTAGTAACTTCATTTAATTGATAATTAAAAGAAGATTGATCTTCCAGTTTGGAGGAAACAACTTTACAGTAACCAGACTCTCAGGCAGAATTAGTGTAGGTCAGAATCACTGGGTGATTATGATTATAGATCCTTAGATTACATCTCATTCAACCTGGGGCATAACTATGTGCCTTTCTTTTTTTAATTAATTAATTAATTTATTTATTTTTGGCTGCGTTGGGTCTTTGTTGCTGCACGTACGCTTTCTCTAGTTACGGCGAGCAGGGGCTACTCTTCGTTTCGGTGCGTGGGCTTCTCATTGTGGTGGCTTCTCTTGTTGCAGAGTATGGGCTCTAGGCGCCCGGGCTTCAGTAGTTGTGGCTCAGGGGCTCTAGAGCGCAGGCTCAGTAGTTGTGGTGCACAGGCTTAGTTGCTCTGCGGTATGTGGGATCTTCCCGGACCAGGGATCGAACCTGTGTCCTCTTCATTGGCAGGCTTATTCTTAACCACTGCGTCACCAGGGAAGTCCCACTATGTGCCTTTCTATTGCTAAGTTTTTGCTTTATATTCTTTGTCTTAAACATGTAGGCATGAGTTCTTCAACCAAGCGGAGCACTTCCACAGGTAATAAAGAATCCAGTTCTACTAGAGAAAGATTACGTGAACGTACCCGACTAAACCAGAGCAAAAAACTACCTTCTGCAGGTCAGGGGGCTAATGATATGGCGTTGGCTAAACGTTCCCGCAGTCGCACGGCTACGGAATGCGACATTCGTATGAGCAAGTCCAAATCGGACAATCAGATCAGTGACAAAGCTGCTCTGGAAGCCAAAGTGAAGGATCTTCTCACACTGGCAAAAACCAAAGACGTGGAGATTTTACATTTGAGGAATGAACTCCGAGACATGCGTGCTCAGCTGGGCATTAACGAGGACCCTCCTGAGGGGGATGAGAAGTCCGAGAAGGAAGCCATCATTGTTCACCAGCCCACTGACGTCGAGTCCACTTTATTGCAGTTACAGGAACAGAATACTGCCATCCGCGAGGAGCTCAACCAGCTGAAAAATGAAAACAGAATGCTAAAGGACAGGTTGAACGCACTGGGCTTCTCCCTGGAGCAGAGGCTAGACCATTCTGAAAAACTGTTTGGCTATCAGTCCCTGAGCCCAGAGATCACCACTGGTAACCAGAGCGATGGAGGGGGGACTCTGACTTCCTCGGTGGAGGGCTCTGCCCCTGGATCAGTGGAGGATCTCCTGAGCCAGGATGAAAACACCCTCATGGACCATCAGCACAGTAACTCTATGGACAACCTGGACAGCGAGTGCAGCGAGGTGTACCAGCCCCTCACATCCAGCGATGATGCCCTGGACGCACCATCGTCCTCGGAGTCAGAAGGCATTCCGAGCATAGAGCGCTCTCGGAAGGGGAGCAGCGGGAACGCCAGCGAAGTGTCCGTCGCTTGTTTGACGGAACGGATACACCAGATGGAGGAGAACCAACACAGTACGAGTGAGGAACTTCAGGCGACTCTGCAAGAGCTCGCTGATCTACAGCAGATCACCCAGGAGCTGAACAGCGAAAACGAAAGGCTCGGAGAGGAGAAGGTGATTCTCATGGAGTCGTTATGTCAGCAAAGCGATAAGTTGGAACACTTCAGCCGACAGATCGAATATTTCCGCTCCCTTCTAGATGAGCATCACATTTCCTATGTCATAGACGAAGATATAAAAAGTGGACGCTACATGGAACTGGAGCAACGCTACATGGATCTAGCTGAGAACACCCGTTTTGAACGGGAGCAGCTTCTTGGCGTCCAGCAGCATTTAAGCAATACTTTGAAGATGGCTGAGCAAGACAACAAGGAAGCTCAGGAGATGATCGGGGCACTCAAAGAGCGCAACCACCACATGGAGCGAATCGTCGAGTCTGAGCAGAAGGGCAAGGCAGCCTTGGCAGCCACGCTGGAGGAGTTCAAAGCCACAGTGGCCAGTGACCAGATCGAGATGAATCGCCTGAAGGCCCAGCTGGAGAACGAGAAGCAGAAAGTGGCGGAGCTGTATTCCATCCATAACTCCGGAGACAAGTCTGACATTCAGGATCTCCTGGAGAGTGTCAGGCTGGACAAAGAAAAAGCAGAGACTCTGGCCAGTAGCCTGCAGGAAGATCTGGCTCACACCCGGAATGATGCCAATCGATTGCAGGACACCATCGCAAAGGTACTGTTTAAGTAGATAGAATGTTCTGGACCAGTGTAATGCGGCTGCAGTACATGGCATGCTTACTGAGAGCCAGCAGCCCTGGTGGTGTGTCATTAGCTTTTGTTAATCAGATATTTTTTTAAGCTTCAGAATGGTTTTCTTGTATTGGGATGGAGTGAAAAGTATTCTTATAATAATGTCACTTCCACTCACTTGTACTTTGTTACTGTTTTCCTGCCTGTGAGAGGATGGGGCTGGAGTTACAACTAACTGAAGTTGTAACAGAAGTTGTCCCTAGTTCTGGGTATGCCCAGGGGAGTGTGTCATGCAGTTTTACATCCTCCTCTGTAGTGTAGTTTGGCATAAGAAAAACAGAGAGCCAGTATTCCAGTCTGTGGGACCAGCAATGTCTGCCTCTTCTTATCCTTTTGTGGTTGTAGTTTTTCAAGTAGAGTTCTGTTGTGATTTAAAAATACTTTTGGAATGTGAAGGCTCCTGTTTCTTAGAGGCCTATTGTTTGTTGCTGGTTGGAACCTTAGTGATCATTGATCCAGCCCCCTTTTTTTTACATGCAGTGTGATAGTGAGGACTCAGTCAGAACTGCAGCCCAGGGTTGCTGGCAGTCGCCAGGGCTGTGCCCCACGCGGTTGCTGATGTAGTGTTTATTATTATTTTTTAAAATAAATGTATTTATTTATTTTTTTGGCTGCATTGGGTCTTTGTTGCTGTGCGCAGGCTTCCTCTTGCTGCAGCGAGCAGGGGCTGCTCTTTGTTGCAGTGCGAAGGCTTCTCATTGCGGTGGCTTCTCTTGTTGCGGAGCACAGGCTCTAGGCATTCGGGCTTCAGTAGTTGTGGCACGTGGGCTCGGTAGTTGTGGCCTGCGGGCCCTAGAGCGCCGGCTCAGTTGCTCTGCCACATGTGGGATCTTCCCAGACCAGGGATCGAACCCGTGTCCCCTGCATTGGCAGGTGGATTCTTAACCACTGCACCACTGGGGAAGTCCCTGATGTAGTGTTTATTTGCATGACTTATCTAATTATCCTAGCTTACATTTTATTTCCTGTTTCAGTGCAAAAATTTTTTAAAGTAGGAAACAGTATATCTATGCTCAAATTTTGAATAATATAAACCTTAATTTTTTAAGTGGCAACTTTCATAGATACAGTTTAGGAGATGTGGTATTTGTCGGAGCATGTATATTGGGGGCCACTATGAACTAACACTGACTATATTAGAGAACTTTTTTGTTTCCATTTTTAATTTGATTTTGAAACCGTCACAAATCAGACATCATTTTTGTGGGAAAGCATGTTAATCATTAATCGTTAATCAGCATGCCTTCAGTCCAAACTTTGGAGAAGGGAAAATTTCCAGAATTTCCTCATAAATAACGTAGTGAAGTTCAGTGAGATGTCAGTGTAATTTCAGTCAGTGATGTGGCAGCAGATCATGCTTAAGCATACTGTGTGAAGTCCATGTTACTGGAGAGTGCCTTCCACCCAGTTATTACACAGGTCGTTCTTGCTCACGCAGAGCAGCTCACGCTCAGCTCCCTGCTGAGACAAGGTGTGCCTCTGTCCTAGGACTTATCTTAGAACAACTCTTACTTCTCTTATCTGCACTATCGATTTTGCACAGGTAGAAGATGAATACAGAGCCTTCCAAGAAGAAGCTAAGAAGCAAATAGAAGATCTGAATATGACATTAGAAAAATTAAGATCAGAGCTGGAAGAAAAAGAGACAGAAAGGAGTGACATGAAAGAAACGATCTTTGAACTTGAAGATGAAGTAGAACAGCACCGGGCAGTGAAGCTTCATGACAACCTCATCATCTCCGACTTAGAGAGTAAGTGAGGTCCCACCCGTCTTAACGTGTGGGAAGAGTTTGCGTTCTAAGTAGCAAAGTGACGGGGGTGGGGGGTGGGGGTGGCTCTGCCTGGGGCAGGGGTTCAAAGGCAGGAGCACAGTGGCCGGCAGATACGCGTGTGGGCAAGAGCTTCCCACGGCCATTGGCAGTCTTCCGGCTGCTATTTGGCTCCTAAAGGACTGTGAAGTGGAAGCATCTCTTTAAAACTGCTGAATTATGGAAAATCATTTAAGTGAGAAGCTAATGGGGTTGTTAACTTTCTAGATCTTAGGAAAAGCCATTTGTTGTCGATGTCTAGTGGTTGCAAGTATACTGAGACCAAAAAATATTTATCCTTTATAATCTTATGCCTGAGGCACAGGTTTTTGTTTATTTGTTTAATATTCCTCCCTTTCATGGAGATTTTATGATCAGGTAGACCTGAAACTCAGATTTTGAGTTGCTTTGTTTGCTTTTTAAAAGATTCTAAAAAACTGTTTTGTAAGTATTTCAGACTTTAAAAAAAGTTGCAAAAATAGTACAAAGCATTTCTTTGTGGAAAATTTGATGAGGAACAGAAATTTGCATGATCTTAAAATGTCTTCCCACAGACTGTTTATTATGTTACAAGTGAGGAAAAAGAAACAACCAGAAATTACACAGTGGAACAATTGGGCAACACTGTGACCCAGTGATCGGGTGATCATGTAAGTGACAGAGGCGCATGGATATCGCTAGGCTGTATTCTGGCTGAGGCATAACTTCAGTTAAAGAAGCGTGAAACAGACAAAAAATGAGGAATGTTGTACTAAAAGCCCAGGATTGAATGGTGCTATATCCTCAAAAATGCCAGTGTCAAAAAATACAAAGGCTGAGGGAAAATTCCAGGCCGTAGGAGGCTTAGGAGGACAACCCATGCACTCCCTGTGCCTGCACTGGCTCCAGTGCTGTCGGGAGCTGCTGTAAAGGTGTGGTGATGGAACTGGAATGTGTGTGAGATTAGGTAAACGTATTGTGTCAGTATAAATTTATGAAGTTTTTAACCCAGCCGTGTCTGTGTATTCTTGGGAACCACACACTGAATATTCAGGGGTGAAGGACTGTGATGTATATCCTTAAGGGTTCAGGAAAAAGGGACAATTAGAGGCAGAGGGACAGGGATAGGAGATAGCAAATAAAGCCAATGGTAAACTATTAACAGTAGGCGAATCTGAGGAGGTAAATGGGTGTTTGGTTCTTTGTGTTACTTCTTGCACCTTTTAGTAAGTTTGAAATCATTTCCAAATAATACATTTAAAAAATTCTTACGTGTTCTTCATCTAGATTCCTCAAATGTTAACAGATTTTAAGTTGTAATACACTTTAATGATGGCCTGGTGGGGACAGGGAGAATGGAGGTAACCTTTTTGGATGCCTTGGTTAAAGCTCTTAAAATTTCTGGTTCATGATGCTGCTCCTTTGAGCACTGACAGTTTACTATTTATTCCCTGACAGAGGACTGACAGGCAGATACAGTGTGTCAATACAGTAGCCAGAGCCCCTGTGCTGTGGATGCAGAGGTGGGGTGGAGGGGAGGTTTGAACTATTGACATTTCCAGGTAAGAAGAGACGGTCATTTGCAGGAGCCCTAAATGTGGCTGGTGGCAGTTCTGAGCTCTGGCTAGTTGACCCAGCAGCATCTGTAGGTTGACCTCAGGGTCATTTGGAATATTCCAGGGTATCTGGATACTGAAGTAGTGGATTGTGGGATTGTATTTCTTACATAGTGATGAACTTTTTCATCTAAAGTTTAAAAAAACTTTTAGTTTAACATTTATATCTAGTCTGTATTTCATTGTCACTGAACTGAGCAAGTTATCTAATTTTACTTCCTAAATATAAGAGGTTCTAAAGTTTTTCAGATTAACTTGGGAGTTCAGTGTGTTTTCCATTTTGTACTGATAAGAACAGCCTTTTCCCTTGCAAACCCTTTGATTTGAAGGTGGAGAGAGTGACACCTTGTGGTAATTGGGGTAATAGCTAGAAAACTGTTAGGTGATAAGGATTCCTGGGACAAAATTTTCCTTATCATTGCCAAAATAAAAGTTACATTCACATTGTATGAATTTTAATCATAAAATGGCCGAAAAGGGCTTCCCTGGTGGCTCAGTGGTTGAGAGTCTGCCTGCCAATGCGGGGGATGTGGGTTCGTGCCCCGGTCTGGGAACATCCCACATGCCACGGAGCGGCAGGGCCCGTGAGCCATGGCTGCTGAGCCTGCGCGTCCGGAGCCTGTGCTCCGCAGCGGGAGAGGCCACAACAGTGAGAGGCCCGCGTACC